TCAGTCTTTGAATTCTTTTTCAGAAGTTTCTACCCAAGGTTTCTGACTTGAAAAAGTAAAAATTCAAAATTTGAAAAAAGTTTAAGGTTTCTAAAAAAATCAAATTTCAAGAAGTTCACATGTTCACTGTTGCACAGTTATTTTCATGGTTACTGAATGACCAGGAACTGGGCTCACACAGTCTCAAGGGTTAAGCTGATGCTGGTAACTTGGTCTGCATTGCCATCTTACCTTTAGTGGGTTAATTTGGGGGTTCATCCTGCCCTGCTCTATTTCAGCAATTTCCTGCCGAATGCTGATCATTGCATCACAAAATCTGTCCAGCTCTGTCTTGTCTTCAGACTCTGTTGGTTCAATCATAAGTGTCCCTGCCACTGGCCAGGACATGGTTGGAGAGGCCAGGACATGGTTGGAGCATGAAAACCTGATAAAAATTCAGTCATTGACAATAGGCTCTGAGATAACACATGCATTAGCTAGCAATTGACTGACAAATTCAGCCCATTCTATAAGCTTTACAGGACTGAACTCAGTGGTAGCATTAGCAGTGCAGGTAAGACACTTTTCAAGCGTCATCGTTTTTAACACTGAAGGATAATGCCATTGTATTATTTACAGTAGAGTTACACACTGATTTAATGACACGCTTTTAAAACCTGCTCTTTTTGCTTTGTTACTTTACAGCCCGAAATATGTTGCTGCTTTCGCATGTTATTTCTGTTCTGGCTGCTCACTTCAGTAGAAGTGTTTTGTGACTTTACCATTCAGCCTGTCATAAGATGGGTATAGATTTCTGCCCTGGTAAACTAGGTGAAAAAAAAAAAAAAAAAAAGGTGGTCTCTCGTGATTCCCTTCCCGTACTACTGCTAATTACAGCCTCAGCCTCATGACACTTCTCTTTTGGCTGCAAAGGATGGAACTTTACTAAACTTATCCATGTCACTCACCTTCATACCTACTGAAAAGTCAATTTAAAGTGGTGCATGCTATTTAAGGCCATAGCAGCCCACTTATAAAAAAGGAATGTGGTTTTTTTGGTATCACAAGTGAGTTTTGGATTATTTCACTGACTAGGTATTACTGGTTAAGATTTTAACAGCTTTTATGTGTACTCATTAGAAGCCCCGTTGCATAGGATCAACCAGTTCAATGGGCCATCTTGTCTGGGAGCCAAAGACTAGCCATGATCAGTTTCTTCAGAGCATGTGTACAAACTACCTAAACTACATCAGGATGGAATCCTATTATCCTACTTCAAAAGTATTTATTTTGTTTTGTTGGAATCTTATTAAGCTTTGGCTTCAATGCGCTTGCTCCAATGGTTAAGTCATGTTATCGCAGATTTGAAGGGGCAGATTACAAAACTCGGGTGGTATTATCAGACTTGTAAGTAGCTACTACAACTCAATTGATGCAAATATCTCTCTAAGCTCTTAATGAATATGAGGAGACCTGAAATGATTGTCAAAGATTCACTATCCATAAGCACAGGACTAGAATGTTTCTATCTCCCTTTAGAAGAGATTTATGAAAGTCTCATTATGCTGCTATTTTAAAGAAAAAAACCCACTTGATTTACCATAATCCTGAAGTCTCTTAGCAAGATCTACAGCTTCAATGTTTGCTGTTTTTTTGAAAGGTCTTGTATCCAAAATGAATTCATGGGCTACATAACCTGGAAACAAAAAAGTGCAAAATATATTTACTTACTAGGAGAATACTGCAACCATATTGCAAGCCAATTTTTACACTTGGGAAAAAAAAAAGTCAGTTTTGTAAAAGAAAACAGATTGTCCAATACTTGCCTCTTGCTCCTCTGAAAAGGATTTTGTAGTGCTTCTCTAGCCTCTTTGCCATGTAGTTTGCATTTAGTATAGCAATCTCGGAAGCATGTTTCAGACCCTTTGCTCCCATTGTCTGAAAGAGGAATAACATGAAGGAACAGATCTAAAGCACTCCTGAGGAAGCGAAGTGTGTTCTTGTACTGGCAACATCAATGGAGAACAGCACATTCATGCATCTGGCTAGTTTTAAGGCAGTCTGAGACTGCTTACTGTGTAAAGTTTTTGCTTAAAGTCAACAAGTGAACAACTTGGACCTTTCCTCAAACTGAGGAGCTCTGAAGTGAATAGAAAAAAGTGAGCAGAGCTCAAGAATGCCACCAGCACACCTGTAAGAACTGCACCTGCTGCCTGGCACCATTCTTATCCCCAGGGAAAAAGCATCCAGAGAGCTTCCTAAAAAGCTTCCTGTGCAGTGTGTACGGACTGTCCCAGCAACTCAAACTCTGCTTGCAGATGTCATGTCACAGATGATGATGTGCATTAAAAATAAGCAGAGCTAAATGAAAACGGATTCACTTATTTCTCTGTTAAAGCACTCCAGAAGGATAGTGCTGGAATTGAGCTGTGGTTGACTTTCTTAACGCTGCACTTAGAAGTTAAAAGGAGCCAAAACAGCCTTCAAGGCAGCCCCTTTAGATAGGACATTGTAAACAGATGGCACTCTGCACTGTGAATAAACCATTTCCCTTAAAAATATACTAGTTTAAATTTTCTGTAATAGAAACCAGCCTACAGTCACAAGTGATTTTTACCCACAGCTGAAAAGCCACCATGGAAGTTGTACGAGCTCATATTTGCTCACTTCAAATTCCAGAAGAGCTGGTTTCCCCAGAAGCAGATGTTTCCATGCTTAGAGAGTCAAACTGGCTACAGGGTGCTCCAAATGACACTGCCCTTATGTTTACCTTTCCGACTCTTTCTCTCACTGAAAGCTTTAGATGTTGCTCAGAGTCCCAGCACACCCTCTACTCAAACAGAATTTCAATCTACACTCATCTCTGTTGGCTGAATGCTTCCATATATGTAACCAAATATTCACAGGCTTATCCCTAAATCACAAGGCATTAAAACATTACATAGATCGTGATCAAGTTGTTGCACACCCAAAGCCAAAACTAAGTTCAGTTTTCAAATTCAGTAAAATCCTCTGGAAATCAAATTCTTATTAAACACATTTTTGGAAGTTAAATGTTACACACAGGTCAAATATAACAATGCTGCAGCATGCAACTAAAAATATTCTCAGAAGAACAGAAATTACCAAGCAGCTTTTAAACAAGAAAACTTCAATGTCAGAGACAATAAAGGGGCAAGCCTGATTGCAGCTTTCTGCCTTGTGTGTACACTTGTCTCAAGAATTATTACAGACAGAAATCAAAAGAAAACAGAAGGTGTCTACACACCTTGATATACACCCATGAAATGGGCAATATAGCACTGGAACCCCAAGGTGCAGCACTGACAGTACCCAAAGGACATGCATCCTTGTCCGGCTGTATTTTGATGACAGGATGGGTAGGCAAGTACGGAGCCAAATGTTTCTTCCTAAAACAAGAACATTGATTTTAGAACTTAACACATGTTCCTGTGTTATCATTTCTGAGCAGTTTTAGCAGTAGCTTCTCTTCACCTTCCTTCCAAACACAGCCCTCCAGGAAGTTTGGTCTATGTCTTCTTCAACAGGAAGTTTATTAACATAACTGTTGACAACAGAGGATGGCACTCAGTTTTCAACCTATCATAAGATATCCATGCAGCTATCCAAATAAAAATTATTTTTTTAAAGGGTAAGATCATTTTTTTAAAAGGAATATGATTGCCCTGAAGGATAGATTCACATAGTTCACCTACCACTTCTGTGTTCTGGACTGTGTACAATATCAGCTCTCAAACTCCACAGATCACCTCTGCATTTACTTGGAAAGCAAACTGCTGAGCAAAGTCTACCATGCACACTAAAGGGCCAACATGAAAGTCAGGAATTTAGGCATACACGTGAACCTCACCAGTCATGAGATCAGCACGTGATAATCCTGGAGAAGGACAAAAGTTTACAAACAACGGTACCCCTCTCCCGTTCATGGCTCTGTAGTTAAATGAACTGACAACCACAATTCACTGATGGTTTGGTTTTTTTTAAAAGAAAAAAAGGCCAAGAAGGCCAATGGCATCCTGGGGTGTATCAGAAGGGGTGTGGTTTGTAGGTCGAGAGAGGTTCTCCTTCCCCTCTACTCTGCCCTGGTGAGACCGCATCTGAAATATTGTGTCCAATTCTGGTCCCCTCAGTTCAAGAAGGACAGGCAACTGCTGGAGGGAGTCCAGCGCAGGGCTACAAAGATGACTAAGGGAGCAGAGCATCTCCATTATGCGGAAAGGCTGAGGGAGCTGGGTCTCTTTAGTTTGCAGAAGAGGAGACTGAGGGGAGACCTCATTCATGTTTAGAAATATATAAAGGGTGAGTGTCACGAGGATGGAGCCAGGCTCTTCTCGGTGACAAACAATGATAGGACAAGGGGTAATGGACAAAAACTGGAACACAGGAGGTTCCACTTCAATTTGAGAAGAAACTTCTTCTTAGTGAGGGTGACAGAGCACTGGACCAGGCTGCCCAGAGAGGTTGTGGAGTCTCCTTCTCTGGAGACATTCCAAACCCGCCTGGACACTTTCCTGTGTAACCTCATCTAGGTGTTCCTGCTCCGGCAGGGGGATTGGACTGGATGATCTTTTGAGGTCCCTTCCAATCTCTAACGTTCTGTGATTCTGTGAAAAGGCTAATAAAGAGATACTCACACTCCAATTGGTCCCATTCCAGGTCCTCCTCCTCCATGGGGAATGCAGAAGGTTTTGTGGAGGTTTAAGTGGGAGACATCAGAGCCGTAATCCCCAGGACGACACAGACCCACCTGTGAAGGGAATACTTTGTCTCAAAATATTCTTTACATGCCATTTTACTTCATTCAAGTAAAACAAGTTAAAAACAGGTTGAAGAAGATGTTATATGTTTTTCCGTTTTTCTTTAACATGATGTATCATAAACAAGAATTGACGTAAACAACCTTCTGCTTTAGGAATTCCTATTAAAGAATGTCTTTGACAAAGATTAGGCAGGCTAAGCCAATTTCAGTGAACAACTCCTAAATCTTACAACACGTTTCAGGGCAAAATCAGATGAAAAAGGATTAGTTTCACCATTTGATTTTTATCCTTCTTGGAAACCTCACCTCCTCCCCCAGAAACTGTGCCATCTTGTGAGGAAGCTGTGTCATGATCTGAACTGAGTACTGCTGTGCTATTTTTATTCCAATGTACACTCCCAGTTGTCATAAAACTACCTAGGAGATTTTTGTACCTGGGCATTCATATTTGCTCCATCTAAGTAAACCTGGCCTCCATGTTTGTGAATCAGGTCACACACATCTCCAATCGCCTCTTCAAACACACCATTGGTGGAAGGGTATGTGATCATGATGGCTGCCAAGTTCTCTTTGTGCTTGTCCACCTGGTGGCAGAGGGAGGGAGGGTGGGAAATGTCATTTAGGCTTCTAAAACTTCTTAAGAGAAGATTTTTGCAAAAACACTTAATTAAGGTCATCAAGAACTTTACAGGTGAGAAGTAAGTCTAAGTTGTTTATAGTCAGCAAAAGATACTGGTCTCTTTCCTTCAGCAAAACCTATGGGAAAAAGAGTGTTTTCTCAATAAATCAGAACTTTAAATGACGGAAGAAGGCATGGTATTAAAAGATGTATGTATAATAGTAACTTCTGGAACCTTAACAGAAGCCAAGTGAAACATCTGGCCTTCAAGGTAATGTGATCTAATGACCATCCCCCTACTTTCTGCAATACAGTTCTAACATTACTATAAAAGCCTGCTCAAATATGTATTTTTGGAAATGTGTCCTGCTAATCCCTTGGATTCCAAAGATTCACCTACAGCCCATCTACTCAAAAAAGTGAAAAGTTGCCTAGCAACATCTCCCCCAGCAGAGGTGGGCTTGAACTTCACTAAGCGAAAGCTAAGTGCAGTTTCAAATGCTTCAGACTCATGAACAGGCTTCATTCATCTCAAATCCTAGATGTAGACCAAAAATGTTGGCTATAAAAGAGTGTAGAACACGCTCTGAGCCACTCTTGCACTAAAGATGCTCAAACTAAAGGAAGTCTCACAAGTGTCACATGACTAGTGTCTGAGCGAGCAAAAAAAGAAAAAGTATTTTTTTCAAGCAAGTGTTCGCTATTGTTGCCCTATTTTCTTAAAAAAAAAGGAACCTGATCCAGCTGCCAACACTATTACCTGTAGAGAAGGCGTGTTCCTGCCTTGAAAATTAAAGAGAATTAAATACTCACCATTGCTTTTAAATGAGAGATATCAATGCTCCCATTTTTATCCACTTCAACTGGCTGAATCTTCATCCCTGCCATTTGTGCACTTGCTGGATTTGTACCATGAGCAGATTTAGGAATAAGGCAAACCTTAGAAGGAAAAAAGAAGCAGGATGGGGGCTAAAGTACAATTAATTAAAAAAAATCTCAAAGCATTATGGTCTATGCTCAGCTACAACTCATTACCAAAGTTTTCAAAAGGGTTCCTGAGGGAATGTTTACTGGCAAATTGCCACTTGTACTGAAGGATGCAACTCAATTTTCTTTGAAGAAAATCCATTCAAATATCAGCATCTAAATACTTGTTAGGAAAATAAAATTTCATTTGCTGCATAAATCGTATTTAGGGCTGCAGATCCAGAATATTATCTCAGTTACTCACATTTAAAATCCTTTCCTCTTATCCCTCTTATTTTAGAAAACTATTTTTTTTTTACAGTAAATCAGTTTCTGTATATACAATGCCTTGAAAGGAAAAACTATCTAATAACTTTCCACTAAATCTTCAGCTGACTTTCAAAGCATTTTCTTCTGTGTTCTATTCAAAATTAAAATTTAGACAGAAATATTTTGGCTATAGCTAAGAAGTTTCAGACAGCTACTTACATGCTCTATACAGGTCATTTAAAAAGAAAAAAACAGAACTTTTACTTAAATAAATCTAAGTTCTTGTTAAGTGATAGTTAGAAAAATGGAACTCAGGATTTTTCCAGACATTTGCTTGGAATGCCGCACCTTCTAAAGACAATAAATATACCTTCTCTCAAAAATAATCCTTTGTTTCTGTTCAATGGGGGTGTGGAAACATTTGTCTACTAAGATTCTCTTGGAAGGATTAACTTAACTAAATGTATTAGTTCACTCAAACTTGGATTCATTAAATAATAACTGACAGTAAGTGACTGTGTTTTCTTGAGAAACAGAATCATGTTCCATAGAGATGCTGAGACAAACGTTGATCCTTTTAAAAGCTATTCTAAGGAACTGACCCATCTGTCTCTGCACCAGGATATTTGGTCTTCTTGCAAACTGTCCATGTTTTCCCGGGCAGCTGTGCTGAAAGAAAACACGAGGATCCCAGCCTGTGCTGGGAAGCACTGTGGTACACCTGTAGCCATTTTTGCTGCATAGCAGAAATGTAAAGTGAGTCCTGATTGTCACCAAGCCTTGCTGGGTTGTGCCTGCAGCTGCTGGCTACAGAAGTTATTGATCAGGCAATCAAGCAGACAGATGTGAGCTGTCAGCTGATGTTGATACGCTTTTCCCACAAGAGGGCACCAACTCCAAATGAGGCCACTGCAAGAAGCTTGACTGATGGTTTACTTATTTTCTCCAGCCCAGGAGAAAAGGTCACCTCAGTTGAAAGGTCAATATTCTGTGGGCTTTCTTACGTTCTTTTTCATTCTTTTTTTCTTTTTCCCCAGGATTATCTTTATTTTACTATAACATTTGAAATCTGTGTGAGTAACGGCAAGCAACCCGCAAGTTCTCTCTTCTGTACAGTTACTGGGTATTTTTAAGCATAGAATGGCCAGAGACACTCACAGAAGGCCAAGGACCTTTCACAGAATATGAGAAACACCAAAGCATACATGGCTAATGAGAAGATAACTGTCCAAGGAATTACATTTCAACCTAATTTAACTTCCCACTGAGTAAAACTCATAAAACAAAGCGTGAAACTGTAAAGACTGGCTGATTTCCAAGAAGTTTGAGGTGATATGGATGCAACACAGAAACAAAGACAGAACAAGCCGACATTCACTGTTCAATTTTAGATTATATCCTCACATAGAGCTTACAGTTCCCAAGAGGTCAGGACAATGACCCTTACATTTTAATAAGGCAAATTAGTTTTAAAGCCAAGTATAAAATAAGGTTCAGAAAATATGGATATTATTGCAGTAATATTGCAGACTCTTCTCCTACCATAAAGCCAACTTTAGTTGTGTTGTGTGTGTGAAAAAGAAACATCTAACCTAATTCAGATTTCCAAGAAGTTTTTGATGTGGTCCAAAAAAATGTCCCTAAACTAATTGCCAGTGGGGTAGGTGGGAAGGCCACATGGATAAATATTTCATGGACAGGAATGAAATGAAAAGATAAACAGTCAGTTTTCACTGTGGAGAAAGGTCATTCTAATAGGACATGATAAATACCTGTGCTGGGTCCCCAGCATTTCAGCTTACTCATAATTGGTTTATAATGGAGACATATAGTGAAATGCCAAATGCCCTGTTAACACAAAATCACCCACGTCACTAAAAGAACTGATTGCACAGTTCAGAAAAGAACCCACAATACTGAGTAATAGCATTCAAAACAGAATATACTGGAGTCAGATAGATCTAGGATATTACACAAGGCAAAAAAGTCTTAACAATACACAACTGGAACAGGAGTTTTGATCCTATCGCCCCTCTAAAGGTCTTGGGGCGGTGGGGGGAGGGAGGGCAAAAAAAGCAACTGCATTGAAAACTAGAAAGTAAACAGAGAACTACGAAAGAGGAACACAGAAACTCTGAGGATAACCAAAGCTACAAGATGGCTTTTTTGAGAAGGATAGTTTGGATGACTGGAATTCAACTAGAAAGACAGAAATGAGGACAGATAAGGATATAATACAAATCTCTGAATCAACACATGGTATGCCAGCTATGAACAGGAAAGAACTGTTGATAACGTTTGAAGAGTGAGAGAGTATTCGATGAAACTGTAAGATGTCAAGTTCCGAAGAAGAAACATTTCATATGAAGATATATGATTATACAATAACGGGTGATGAAACCATGGAACAGATTCTTCAAGAAACTGTAAATATCAGAAGTGTCCTCATAGGAGGTCAAGTGATCAGATTTAATTGTAGAAAAATGCATAATCAGTGCCTTTGGATTGCTTTGGATCAGGAAGTTCCTAGACCTGATATGTAGATATGTAGAAGCTGCGGCCATGTGCTGGCTAAGGATCATTGTATACTCGCTTTGTCCTTATACTCCTTGTTGTAAGGAGTCTTTCAGTCTGCTATCGACCACTGTAAAACTGGATGCTGCAATTGATAAGACTTTTGGTCTGGGCTAATCTGGCTGTTCTTATATTACAAACATGCAACCACCTGTCCAAAACGAAACTTGCTGCCACCAACTTCTCACATTTATGTATTTCAAGCTACTTCACTTCCAATTAAACTCATACCTAAAAGGTATGATTAACACAGCCTTTCTTCCAGGCATCACAGATTGCTCAGAAAGCATCTAAAGAAACAATACTACTTTCAGTTTTTACAGCTATAACTGCCTGCCATTAAACACAAATAAGGAATTCTTTAACAGAAAATTAGAATTCAAAATTGTATGAAAAACATAGCGTACTAGTAAGAATTGATAAAGTGGTCTGTGGAAACCTGTTTGTTGTTCAGGTCACTGAAGACCACCTCCATCACTGCTAATTCTCTTAGATACTGAACACCTTCCTCAGCAGAGGTTCAATTGCTTCAGTAATTGACAAGATCACCCTTGAGAGTACACCTCACATGCAACAGAAACCACCTCCCGAGGCTGCAGAATGTCAACTCTCTTCTGATTTCTTCGTTGATTCCCTGGTTCCTAGTGAGGGATTTCCTGCCCTCAATTCCTGACTACCCCCTCCAGCATCCCAGCATTTTAGCAACCAGGCAGCAATATGCTTGCCTGGCTGGTGGCTGTAATTTTTCAGTGTATCTTGCAGCTTGCTCAGGGTTAGGGATGGGATTGTTTCTGCCTCTTGGATGACTTCTATCACGTCCTCCTTATGTTTCCTTGCAAAAGGACTGCCTTTCTGATCAGACGCTTCTTCCTCCTCCTTTACTAACTGGCGGTACAGTCCTGTTGACCTCCACTGTCAGTGCTTCTTTTTTACTACTGAGGTTTTACTACATGTGGTTACTACTGTGGTTGAGGTTTGGTTCCCTGTTTCAGCCATCATGTCCTTAGAGGTAGAAGCTCACTTTCCCCTGCTGCTGTGATGGTGCTAGACAAAGGCACAATAGCCACAGGCCAAGCCCCAGAACAGCGCTAGGAGGTGCTGGGTCTCATTGCAAAAGGCAAGGCACCCTTCCATCAAGTGGTGTGCCAATTTAACAGGGTTGCATGCCTGTTCAGGTGTAAAATCCAAGGTTACAGGAGCTGATAACAGCCCTAGACACCTGCTCAAACCCTCCTACACACCCTGTCACCCAGGGATCAACAGCCTTGGGGCATGTTTCTCTGTCAGCTCAACAAGTTCTTTATTCTTATGCCAGGACCAAATCAGATTCCACACACCTAACAACAAAACAACATTAGATAATAGGATCAAACATCTTAGGTAAGGATATACAAAAAAACTTAGGAACCCACACAACAGAGCTGGACACATCAACCCCAGAGGAGAAGAGGGAGGTGTAACTCCCTGCTCTCTCTGCAAGGTAGCTCAATGCATCACAGGAATGGCATCACAGACAGGGCCATATGCTTGGGCTGGCATATATCCATTGCTTTTATAAAAATGTTTCCAAGCACAGCATTGATAAGCAACACAGCAAACAGCAAGAGCCCAAAGCAGCTATTAAAAAGCCCTAGACTTTAATACACAGTAAAGCAAGCTCTGTGACGCACAAAGGAGCCTGTCAATTAACAAATTAACATGCTCAGATGAAAACTGTCACTACCTCAAGCCCCATGCTGGGTGCTAAAAAGGACTGTGATGGGCTGACCTGGCCAATGTTCAAACACCCAGACAAAACTGCTCACTCATTCCCATCTCCCATATGACAATAAGAAACAGAAGTAAGGTGAGAAAACTCATGAGTTGAGAGAATGACAGTTTAATAGGGAAAAAAAAAGTTGTGTGCACAAGCAAAGCAAGAAAAGGAATTAATTCATTACTTCCCACGGCCAGGCAGATGTCCAGCCACTTCCTGGAAAGCAGGGCCTCAGCACATGTAATGGTTGCTTGGGAAGAAAAATGCCATAACCATGACCTTCCTCTCTTTGTCCTCCTTTCCTTGAGCTATTACTGCTGAGCATGCCATTATATGGCATAAAACATCCCTTGGGTCAGTTCGGGTCAGCTGCCCTGGCCATGTCTCTCTCAACCTCTAAACCCCAGCCTACTCCCTAGGGAGAGGGACTGGGGGCAGAACAGAGTGGGAAAGAGAGAAAGCCTTGACACTGTCCAAGCACTGTTTAGCAACAGCCAAAACATTCCTTTGTTAACAACACTTCTTTAGTCACAAATCCAAGGCACAGCACCACAGGCTGCAATAGAGAAAGTTAATTCATCCTAGTCAGTTTAAGACGGTACCCATGATCCATGAGGGAAGCAGGGAATATTTGAAAGCTTGTCACAGATGCAGATACACAACCTAGTTTCTCTCTAGATGAGTCCCAGCTGCTAAGTCAACTTTCTCCACTTCCCACCCAAAGCTCTTCCTCACATGAGTGTTGACACTTACGGTTCTGTGACGTTCTCCTTTTGCATTTAAATAAGCTTTGATTGCAGCCAAGCCTGCATACTCTCCTTGGGCTCCACTGCAACAGGAACACAAACTCCATTACACAAGCACACAAAGCAGAAAGTGCCAGCTGAAACTTCAAATTGTCCAGCCATAATCCTTCTCAGTGGTGTTAGGAAAGTGTCAGCAAATTAAAAGAAGCACATCCTATGCATTAAATTACAAATGGGAAAGCATTAACTAACAGCTTTTGCCTCTTTAGCAAATAGTAGATGAAAAAGTTATGCCATTTTATGTGCTAACAATCTGATCTTAAATTCTTTTGGTGATTAAGATGATCCTCATTTCTGTTCCTAGCAGGGGACTATGTGCTTTACTACAGAGAGGCAACCTAACACTGAAATTCACAGTAAAGTGTATGCAGTGAAAATAGAACACTTTCAGTGACATCCTAAGTGTAGAGTAAGTTGTTCCTCTTCATTTTGTATCAAAATTACTCATGGACATAAACAGGCTGCATCAGCAGTCATTCAGCTTCACTTTATTTATTTCAGTGAGCATGCAGATCCTATGCATTCTTCAGTCAAACCTAGTATTACCTACTGCAACAAATACAGTTTCAACAATTACACTGTTGCCAGCTCATACAGTTTATTCCTCTTTCAAATCTTTTATCTTAGCTCATAGGAGGATATCAGTAACATCAACATTTTAAGCAAGCAATGGTGGAGAAACCAGCCTTCATAGAGAGTAAAACATTGGAAAAAACATTAAAAGAACAGAAAAGACAAAATCATTAAACTTTTAGAAGAGACGGGATAAAACAAGGTTCTGCAGTTTTGAAAAAACAAATCTTGTTTTCATAAACTTGCATTCAAGGTTTCTCGTCAAATTTAATTTTAGAACTTTCTTACATTCTTCACTTGCACATTTTCTTTAGAGATAAACTTTTGGAATTACATTAAGAAGCAATTGTTCAGAAAAGATTTCCTACCTGTTTGGCTGGAAGGAGATGTTGTCATAGCCAGTGATCTCACATAGATCCTTCTCTAAATCCTTGAAAAGCTGCTGATATCCTTGAGCTTGATCCAAGGGTACAAAAGGGTGGATGTTGGCAAATTCTTTCCATGAAATAGGCTATTAAAAAAAAAAGCATGTGCTGTAATAAAAAAATTCTGCCAGCAACTCTATTTTGTTGTTAAACAATACGAAGGAAAGAAGCAGCCCTGTGCCCAAATAAAAATCGAATATTTCTTGTGCAGCAAGACAAGCTCCCAGTCTCATTGTAGGATACAGCCTGGCTGAATAGAGACCTCTGGCTGGA